CCGTTAGTGACAGTACCATTTTCATTCAACTCTACATCAAATCAGATGGTCTAAGCACAATATACACATACCACATTAAAATCCGATGGTATAAGAAAGATGATAGCAGAGAGAGAAGAAACTTAACAATCGGGCATTAGGGTAAATTTTCAATAAAATATATTATGAACACCTTAGTATGTTGAATATCACTTTACCTTCAAATATAAAAATCTAACAGGAAACAATGCTTTCAAACACTCTTAGACTTGCCTCATGCCCGATTGTTTGAAGCCTAGGATCTAAGTGCAAATTTCATTATAAACTATTTAATTTAATACCTCAACCGAGTTGCGAAAAGGTGTTCCGATCCCTGATAGAGAGAGGTAGATTGGAGATGATGTAGCGTTGAAGCTTGAGAGTAAGAATGCTACTGCAAGTCCTAGAGAGTATCTTCGCTCCTTTAGATGCAACGGCAGATCAGAAGAAACAGAGGAGCTCTTCGAGCGTGTGTTCAGGATATCGATCGAAGAGGTAATGTGTATTTTGTAGGGTTTCATTTTGTTATTTTAGATTTTTGGTTTGCCTTGGGTGTTTAGGCCATCCGGGTTGGCGGGTTGAGAGATGGTGCTACCTTTTCCGGATGAAATTTTAGTGAAAATGTGGCGCTCAATTTTCCCTGATTTTCAATTCCATTCAATTAATTTTTATATATGAGACAAGTGTTACATTAGAGTTAGCCTAATGTAACACTTATTTAAAAATGTAACGGTTCATATAAAAGTATAAAAGGTGTTACATAAGATCATATTAAATGCAACAGTTTCAAGATAAATGTAACAATATGATGAAAACCATTACAATAGGGTACTTTTTTGTAACGCTTTATCCAAATGTTACAATTTTAATGTTACATTAGACCTTAAAATGTAGTAGTGACACCCATGAGAACGGAACAAAGTTGGAAGGTTCTTGTGTAAAGATAAGTCAATGTTTACACGACGGCAGTATAGTTCAAAGACATCGAGTCTACTAGACAGCCAGTAAATAAACGAGTCTTTACAACGGAAGGTTCAAAGGATTAAACCTACCTCTCCGTATACAAGGATCATCCGGTGAACACAATGTGTCCTCCTATCTTCGCGTCTTTTTTAAGTCTCGAAAATCAATTTTCATTCATGTGGGGGATTGTTGGAAAATGTGTTAGTAAATTGCATTAAATGGTCATTTTGGGGCAATTTTTTGAGTGGGGTCCACTTCCGATTTGGGTCGGGTCAAAGTGGTTTCGGATTGTCCTTGCTTAGGGCTACAATTCGATATATGGTACGCTCAAAACGGATAACGGGTGAATGAGAAATCGCTTTTCGAAGTTTACCCGTTGGAATGGAGAAAACTAGGAAAATGATGGGTTTCTAGTGTGGTTTTTCCCACACCGGAAAACCCAAGGGAATTTGAACCCTTTATAAAGGGAAACCCCCCTTAAGGAGTTAAGATTCCTTAGGGTAAAGGCTCTCTCCACGCGCGCAGGGATAAACGTTAATTTTTGTTCCTCCGTTAGTTTCCTAATTTTTGCTCCATGTTGGAGCAGGCTACTGCTACGTCCGCAGTTGGCTCGGCAGCAGGCTACTGCTCCGTGCGAGCGTTGTAACGCCATAAATGCCCAACGTTCCTTTGCAATAAATGGACAGTTTTTTGGACTAGAATCAATGCCAACGTGCTGGACATTGATTACCAACGTTCATATCCATTAAACCTCCATTAAACACACAACAAATCTTCCTATAAATGGCTGCAGGTGGTTTGCAACAATACACAACACACAATACGAACTTCACGTGTTTTTCTAGCTCAAATACACCTCCAGTCACTCCGAAAAATTCCTAAGTGTTCTTACTTTGTTCACGTTCGTTGGAACTTTAGTTTGAGTGCTAAACTATTGTTCGAAGTCATCGTATCCTGGGAAACGATCGTTGCAACGCTCCTAGCACCCGGGAGGCAACGGATACGTTTTAAGGAAATCGTGCGTGGCACGAGCTTTGGCTTATTCTGCTTCATCTCATTTCTCGTTTTCCTTTAAGTCATTTTATTTATTTAATTAATTTTATTAATTATCATCTTAGTTTTTCGAAACACACCCAACAACATATGCAATATTTAAGGATGACTCACTTTTTGGACATGTTTGATAATTGGAATTTAGTTCTTGACGAATTGGGTAGCGGATAGTTGATATAAAATTTAATTGGCGGACTTGATTAGCAAACTAATTTGACGGGTTGTGAAACGATGTTTGGTAAATTAGATGTTCGGGATCAGCGGTTACGCCGGTTAGTGGATAAAAAACAATATAAGAGCATTCGTAGATTTTAACACCAGTCAAGTATCTCCTAGCTATTTCAGCTGCTACAAATTCTAACATTTTTATTAATTCTCAATGAAATCCGATGGTTAATTTGTTCAATGGTTCAACCATATGTGAAACACAACTATTAAAACTTAATCAATTTTTATGCATTTTTTGAAAATTCAGAATGTATAATTTGCAATATATTTGTATCACTCTCAATATATTTGCAATATATTTGTATCCTCATACACACAAATACATAAATTTAAATAAAATATATATCTATATATCATTTTAAGTGTTGTACACTACAACAGCGAGTGTATTATATATGTATACTCTATGCTTGAGTTTTATAGAACAGAACACTAATTAAGACTCTAAGATGTTAGGTAGTAGAAAAAAGGAGAACAAATAAATATTCCACATATCCTACATATACTACACATATCCTTACCTTAACTTAAGTGTTGATTATGAAGTATTTCATTTAGATTGATTTTCTATACTTCAATTTTATTACTCTCTCCGTATCACATACATCTTCCCACTTTCAAAGTGAGTGAGATTAAGAATAGTGAAAGAGGATATAAATTATTGAGGGTCTGATGAGAAAATAGTGAAATAATGTGATCGAATGAAGGATAAATCCAAAAGTAGGTGTAATAGCGTATTATTTTTTAAATTATTGAGAGTATGATGGGAAGATTTAGAAATTGGAAGATATAAATGTTACGTCCAAAAAAAGGAAAATGGGAAGATATGAATGCTATGGAGGGAGTATGTGCTAAAAATCAAAATCTAGTTAATGAATTATATTTTAAAATAACCCAGCTATGCAAAGCACAGGTCGATTAATTAGTTATACATATTTGTTCACCGGCATATGCCTATAAAATTAGTTTCATATTATATTTGATGGGACTTATGTGATTTAGCTCATTAAAAATTGAAAAACACTCATAAATGTATACTCACATCGTCCTTTATAACTTTGCCAACTTTTCTTTTTTGGTTGTCCCAAAAACTTTGTCACTTTTCCTTTTAATCAATCAATTTGTGGCTCCTATTATTTCTCCCTCCTCTACACAAACATCTACCATACAGTTTTTACTTTATTATTTTTCGTGCCGGTCAAGCTTGGCAAACATTTAAAGGAGGGAGTATATTTTTTACATTAAAGAAATGGATAAATTTTTATGTATATTTGGACACTATTTTCCATGGAATTTGGTAAGGAAGCATGACTAGGGGTGGGCAAAAATCCCGGTCCCGGTGTCCCAAACCAAAAAATCTCGATACCGTTCCGAAACTATCCCGATCCATTTAGGACACAATTTTTTCATCCCGAACCGGTCCCGCACCGATATTAACCGGGACAGGACCGGGATATCTATAAAATATCATGTCCCGTTCCGGTGTCCCGTTTGAAATTAATATGTTATTTTAAATTTCTAATGTTATGTAATAGTCAAACCCAATTAAAATTTTCTAGTCCTTAGTCTCCCGAGTGTGATTTTATCTTATTTCATGTCTCTCTTAGTCTCATTTCTTTTGTTTCTTTTGATTAAAATTTGTTTAGTTCTCATTCTAATACTAAACCATAATATATTATTACGTGCGGAATACTATTTATGATGGAATAACTACTACTCCAAATTATAGTGTTGCTATAGAATTAATATTTTCCAAAATAACTACTAGAATATATATATATATATATATATATATATATATATATATATATATATATAGAGAGAGAGAGAGAGAGAGAGAGAGAGAGAGAGAAAACTTCATGTCAGGCCGGCCTGACGGGCTGCCCCGTCCGGCCGAGCCCGTTTGGGAACCTTCCCGGTGGAATTTTTTGATGCAATTTTTTGAGCATGTTCCTCATCAAGTCTAGTTTGTCCATACCAAATTTCAGCTCAAAATTCCATCGGGAAGGTCGTCACAAATTTTTTGCAAGTTAACTGGTCCGGAAAATACATATTCCGGACCAGTTAACTTGCAAAAATCATTTGACGACCTTCCCGATCGAATTTTGAGCTGAAATTTGGTATGGACAAACTAGACTTGATGAGGAACATGCTCAAAAATTTTTATCTAAAAATTCCACCGGGAAGGTGCCCAAACGGGCTCGGCCGGACGGGGCAGCCCGTCAGGCCGGCCTGACATGAAGAGCACTCTATATATATATATATATATAGAGAGAGAAATCATCTCATCAGGCCGGCCTGACGGGCTGCCCCGTCAGGCCGAGCCCGTTTGGGCACCTTCCCGGTGGAATTTTTTGATGAAATTTTTTGAGCATGTTCCTCATCAAGTCTAGTTTGTCCATACCAAATTTCAGCTCAAAATTAGATCGGGAAGGTCGTCAAATGATTTTTGCAAGTTAACTGGTCCAGAATATGTATTTTCCGGACCAGTTAACTTGCAAAAATCATTTGACGACCTTCCCGATCGAATTTTGAGCTGAAATTTGGTATGGACAAACTAGACTTGATGAGGAACATGCTCAAAAAATTTCATCAAAAAATTCCACCGGGAAGGTACCCAAACGGGCTCGGCCGGACGGGGCAGCCCGTCAGGCCGGCCTGATGAGAAGAGCTCTCTCTCTCTATATATATATATATATATATATATATATATAGTCTTTGTAGATATGTTATTTAATTTAATGTCGTGTTAAAAAATTACAAGTGTACTACAAAGTATAAAAATATTTTGCACTACTATTCTACTAAAGAAAACACAAGATTAGGGGGACCAAAAAAAATTACAAGACAAAAATTAAAAATAGTTAATTAAAGGTTTTACTTAACTTTTCAGGGAAGCTAAATTTGCAAAATAGTTACGTCTTTATTTTGATGTTATGATTATTTTTATATCACATTTCACAAATGCATATTTTATGGAACATCCCGAACCGTCTCAGTTTTTCTCGGGTTGTCCCGATCCCGTTTTAAATAGGACAACATTGGGATAAAGATTTATATTGTACCGTACCGAACCGTTGTTATAAAACCGGGACGGGATTGAGATGAGCCAAATCCCGGACCGTCCCGGATCGTGCCCACGAAGTAGTCCGTAGTTGGTGACGACAAAAAAGTGATGTGGTCCGTAGTCCGTACCGCCCGCCGTAGGGGTCCTCCATCCCACCCCCAGATGAGGTTTTGCGTCATATCACCAGTCCCATTTCGCCCAGAAACCTCCTTTCTTCGATTCCTGATCAGGAAAAAAGAAACATACGGAGTATATACTTCATTTCCTTCAGTTGGTGACGACAAAAAAGAATGCAGAAGTCGGAGGACGATGGTCCACGAACTGAACCATCTCCTGTAGGCAAGCATATAGATATATGAGATGTGATGATTGATGGGAGAAGTATGTGGTGTACCGATTCAACCCAAAGATTCGACAGAAAGGCCGAGAAGTAAATTACTCCCTCCTTATCAGGTACTACCCCGTCCCATTTTATGTGTCTTAATTTGACTTAGCACGATTATTAATGAAATGGTTGAAAAAGTAAAAGTTGTGGTTGAAGTTTGAGTATAATAAAGTGAAATGGTGTAGGCCACATATTTCTTTCCAAAAAGGGAAAGTGGACACTTATTTTGGGACAACCCAAAAAGGAAAGTAGGACAGGTAAAATGAGACAGAGGGAATATATCTTCCCACTTCTAAAGTGTGTGAGATTAAAAATAGTGAAAGGAGATATAAATTATTGAGGGTATGATGGGAAGATGGTGAAATAATGTGACAGAATGAAGGATAAATCCAAAAAATAGGTGTAATAGTGTATTATTTTTAAATTATTGAGGGTATAATGGGAAGATTTAGAAATGTGAAGATATAAATGTTACGTCCAAAAAAGAAAAGTGAGAAGATATAAATGTTACGGAGGGAGTAATATACAATCCCGAAGAATTCGTGCGGTGTACTCATATTTACTACTCCCTTTGTTCCATAAAACTTGCCCAAAATTTACTTGCACGTAGATTAATAAAGTAAAAACCGTGTGATTGAAATTTGTGCAAAGGAGAAAGAAATAATTTTAGCCACATATTTTTATATTTCTTACTTTAAAGGGAAATGAGCAAGTTTGTTTGGGACGGCCAAAAAATGATATTTGGACAAGTTTGATGGGACGGATGGATTAATTAAAGCTTCCTCTCATTGAATGCGAGTCGTAATAAGACTCACACATGAAAAAAATCACACTTTCACCGCCCTAACAAAATTAAAGAATATAATCACATTGTACTAGAGTAGTCTTCCGGTCAAGAATTCCTGACCGGAACCGATGTCCGAACGGCAGCGTTTGGCCACCTTCCGAATGGAATTTTTCGATGAAATTTTTATGACATGTTCTCCATCAAGTCTAGTTTATCCACACAAAAAGTCAGCCAAAAACTCATTCGGAAAGGTCGTCAAATGATTTTTGCAAGTTAACTGGTCCGGAAAATACATATTCCGGACCAGTTAACTTGCAAAAATCATTTGACGACCTTCCCGATTGAGTTTTTGGCTGAATTTGTTTGTGGATAAACTAGAATTGATGGAGAACATGCCATAAATATTTCATCAAAAAATGCCACCGGGAAGGCGGCCAAACGCCGCCGTCCGGACGGCGGTTCCTGTCCGGAATTCCGGACATGAACATTTGTGCATTGTACTAATAACAATTATATGTGAAGAACTTTTTAGAAGTCAATGATATCAAAGAGTGAATGCCCCTTAATCTCTAAATTGAAAGAGCTTGCAAATACAACCACAAAGAATGAAGAAAATAACAAATGAATCCCACAATTACAACCCTTAATTGAAAGGTTGAGGCCCATCACCCTTTTATGCATTTTCCTTGGAGGAATGACTAGAGTCTATGAGCTCCCAAATAACTACATAAATACTAAGGGTGTTTTTTTGAACTATTATTAGTCACAGACCAGATCAGACCAAATCAGATCAGACCAGACTTCCGCAGTTATAAAATACACAGAGACCAGACGTTTACCAGACCAGACCAAATCAGACCAGTTCAGATAAATCAGTCCAGACCAGACTAGTCTAGATCAGACCAGACCAATAAATTTCAGTTCAAAAGAAAATATCCTAAGCCACAACGCATTAACGCTATGGCCAATGTGATGAAAACCGACTAAACTTTGAAAACCAAGTTCTACGAATTCATTTAAGGTTAACAAAGGTTTGAACTCCTTTTGTGTGACCCCCGTTGTAGGTATCACGTCAATTTCCATTTTTAATGATACAGTGGAAGGTAAACAAATATGAAAAAAAAAAGATGACACCCCATCCCCGAGGGCCCCTCAACACCGACTGGACAGCACGATGGAAGGATGTAAATTGGACTATAATCAAAATATGATAGATGGAGAGTGGGGCTCCGTCCCCGCTACTTGCAGAGACCCTATGCATTTTTAGCATAGTAACCTCTCATCACAGTTGCCGGGATTCTAACCCAGGACCTAACCCTTGTGGCACTCCCTCGCTACCAGTTGAGCTACGCCCACCGGTGGAAGGTAAACAAATATGAAGCCTACTCAATGAAGAGAAGAATCGCCACCACCTCCCCCTAAGTTCGGCCATATGAGAGAAGGGGCATAGGCGGGAATAAAAGTTAGACTGAACTGTGAAATAATGGGAAAAGGGTACTCCAATTGGAGTCCTGGCATGTATATTTATATTGAGAGAGTTTAATACATAATAGGAAACAAATATGCCTAATAATATTCTTTTACACCCCCTCAAACTGTGCGGGAGATACAACGCGCAGGTTGTCTTTCAAAAAATAAAATTGCTGACTAGAAAGGCTTTTGGTAAAAATGTCAGCTAATTGTAACTGTGTGGGAATGTATTTCACAACTAAGTCTCCATGAGCCACACGTTCTCGTACAAAATGGTAGTCTATCTGTATGTGCTTGCTACGAGCATGCTGAACCGTATTAGCAGTCAAATAAGAAGCAGAGATGTTATCACAAAATAATTGGACTGGTGCAGTAACAGGATAGCCGAGCTCAAATAATATAGAACGAATATGCAGAGTATCCTGGACAGTGTAAGCGACGGCTCTATACTCAGCTTCTGTAGATGACTTGGAGACAGTAGGTTGCTTCTTGGATTTCCATGAGACAAGATTCGGGCCCAAGAACACTGCAAAGCCAGTTGTGGACCGAGATGTATCCGGACAACCTGCCCAATCAGCATCGGAGTAAGCAATGACACAGGTTGCCCGAGATGTAGGCTGAAGCCACAAACCATGATCAAGAGTCCCTTGCAAGTACCTGAAAATTCTCTTGACCGCAAAAAGATGAGTAGTACGAGGAGCATGCATAAACTGAGACACTAAATGCACAGCATAGGTAATATCAGGTCGTGTCAAAGTTAAATATTGTAATGCACCAACCATACTACGATACTCAGTGGCATCTGCAAGAAGTTCCCCATCCGTGAGAGATAAAGAAGTGCGAGTAGCAAGCGGAGTACGAACAGACTTTAGAGTATGGAGATGAAAGCGAGAAAGAAGATCAGACACATATTTATGTTGAGAGAGAAATAAACCTTTAGCATTGCGGACAGCCTGGACTCCTAAAAAATAATGAAGATCACCCAGATCTTTCATTGCAAAATGCTTAGCATCAAGCTGAATAAAAGAGGTGATAGCAGCGGAAGAATTGCCAGTAATAATTATGTCATCAACATATAGTAATAAATAAATGACAATATTATTCTGACGATAAATGAATAATGAATTATCAGACTTGCTGCATGTAAAATGATGAGATAGAAGAAAACTACTAAACCTGTGAAACCAAGCTCGCAGGGCTTGCTTAAGACCATAAATGGCTTTTCGCAAACGACACAAATGATTAGGAAACAAAGGATGAATAAAACCCCGCGGCTGACGCATGTAAACCTCCTCAGTAAGATGACCATGTAAAAATGCATTCTTAACATCCAATTGACGAATGACCCACCCAAAAGAAATGGCAAGTGTAAGAACAATACGAACAGTGGTGGGTTTAATTACTGGACTAAAAGTTTCAGAAAAATCTACACCTGCCTGCTGATTAAATCCCTGAGCAACTAAACGCGCTTTATGACGCTCAACAGACCCATCAGAATTATATTTGGTCTTATAAATCCACTTAGAGCCCACAACATTTTTAGTATTATCAAACGGAACTAAATCCCAAGTATTATTAGAAATAAGAGCATTAAATTCCTCTGCCATTGCCTCACGCCATTTTAACTGTTTATTAGCCTCGGAAAAACAAGTAGGGTCAACTGATAAAGTAACTGTGTTTAAATTAAAAATGGTTTTGGGTTTAAAGATGCCTGACTTAGCCCGGGTTTGCATGGGATGATTGTTTAGAGGCTGGCTGTGGGGTATAGAAGACTCGGGGACACTGGTCGTGAGCTGCTGCGACACCGGGTTAACGTCAGACTGGGCAGAAGATTCAGGCATGAGTGGAGGTGAGGTAGGCCGAACAGGGGAAGGGCTGGAGAGCTGGTCGTGAAGTTGGTTAGGATCAGATGCATTGCCTGGGACGTTGGATAGGACTGGTGGTGTGTGAGATGGGTAGTGGGTGTGTTGTTGGTTTGGTGTACTGAAGGTGGATGTTCGTGGTGGATAAAGAGGAGAACTGGGACTAGACATGCTGAACGGTTCGGTATGTACAGGAGAGGAGAAGAGTCGGTTTGGAGAAATAGAGGCAGTATTGGTAAGAGTAAAATCATCATAGAGATTGGAAGACGCAGGAGTGGTGAGGTTCGTGGAAAAAGACAAAGTGGCATATGGAAAAATTTCTTCGTGAAAACGAACATGTCGGCTAATAAAAAATTTGCCAGACTTGGGCTCAAAACAGCGATATCCTTTAAAACCAGATGCATAGCCAAGAAAAACACACTGAATGGAACGGGGAGAAAGTTTATTTGAAGAGGATGCCGAAAAATTCGGATAACAAGCACACCCAAAAACACGAAATAAACTATAATCAGGAGTTTTATGAAAAAGTTTTTCATATGGTGAGACACCAAAAAGCGTAGGAGAAGGAAGTCTGTTAATAATATATACAGCAGTAAAAATGGCATCAACCCAGAAGGTGCTTGGAATAGAAGCTGTGAGAAGCATAGTCCGAGCAAGTTCTAGGAGATGACGATGTTTACGTTCAGCAACACCATTCTGTTGAGGAGTATAAGGACAAGATTTTTGAAAATATATGCCGTGTTCAGCTAAAAATTGCTGCATATGAAAATTAACAAACTCACCCCCTCCATCACTTTGAAAAACTTTAATTTTAGCATTAAACAATTTTTCAACTAACGCTTTAAATAAACGGAACTGAGTAAAAACTTCATTCTTAGTATGCAAAGGATAAATCCAGGTAAAACGAGAAAAATCATCAATGAAACACACATAATATTTAAATCCGAGATTAGACAATACAGGAGATTGCCACACATCAGAATGAATTAATTGTAACGGTGAAGAAGAATTATGACTAGCATCTGAAAAAGGTAATCGTTGAGATTTTCCCAAACGACAAGAAACACAATCATGTTCAAAATTTGAGGAACTAGAAATAAGTTTGCTACTACGCAACTGGCGTAAAATAGTTTCGCCACAATGTCCTAATCTACGGTGCCACACAGGGCCAGAAGTAATAGTAGAAACTAAAGCTAGAGATGCAGGAGGACTGAGACTGACAGGGTAGAGATGATCATTATGACGCGCCTGAAGTAGAACTGCCCTCGAAATTTTGTCCTTAACACAAAAAGAATGTTTATCAAAAATAGCAACACAGTTATTATCAGCGCACAATTTTTGAATGGAAATTAAATTAAATTTAATTTGAGGCACAAGATAAACAGATTTTAATGACAGTGGGCGGCTAGGGGTTTTTAATGTGATATCACCAATATTAGCAATGGGAAGTTTAAGACCATTTGCAACACTAACAGACATGGTGCCATGATAAGGGGATTTATTTGACAAAATACCTTCAGACGATGTCATATGAGCAGAAGCTCCAGAGTCGGGGTACCACAAAGCATTGTTAGATTCGCCACTGGGAGCAACCAACGCAGGTGCAGAGGATTGAGAAAAGCGAGACGGACAGTGCAAGGCAGAATGACCTGCAGAGAAACAAATCTGACACACAACTGGGGAAGGTACTGAACCAAGAATACCCTCAGATGATGGGAAACCTGCATAATAAGAGTAAGTACCAATAGTAGATTTAGCATTAATATTTAAAGTGGACACAACAGATTTACCAGATGGTGCATTTTGTGGTCGTGAATGAGATGCCCCCCCTGCGGCCAAGAACTGAGGCTGCAGTTGTTGACCCTGGAAGTGTGTAATCTGCTGGCCGAAACCATTTGGTTGACCATGAGGCTGCCCATAGCCTTGATTTTGGGACCGGCCTCTGCCACGGCCCCCTCTACCGCGTCCGCTTCTACCTCGGCCTCCTCTGCCGCGGTAAGCGCCATTGTAAGGCTGCTGTCCAGCCTGAACCGGCGGAGCACCGGCAACATGAACTCCAAAAGCAGGCTGGAGCTGAGAAGAATCTTGCTGTCGTTGGAACAAAATAAGCTGCTCGGCCTCCATTAATCTAGGATGAAGAATATCTGGCGGGAAATTTTCAGGAAATAAAGAAATTGTCACGCCCCGGACCTACCCGGACACGTCAACAACCCGCCGTACAGTACGAATAGTCAACCGCGGTCCAACTCATCCATACTATACAAGGCGTCTTGAATACCATTCACAATAGTACATCCATAAACAATCATAATGTAAATCATTTCATTAAGCAGCGGAAATATCAATACAAGCATTCGAGCCACACGTGGCAAACACGGGCATACAAGCCCTAAATAATTATTCGGAAAATAGTATCCATGAGCATTAATTTAAATATTTTAAAATAGGAACGGAGGAAGCACGAACCACGTCTTCTCTCCTTCAAGCTTCCCAAGCAACGGCAAAGATAGCGAGCTTTATCCCCTACCTGAAACTGTGAGGTGGCCTCCCCCGTGAAGGGGAGGTCAGTACTTGGAAGCATTTGACAAGTACAATGACAACTATACTAAGTATAATCAAAGTTTCAATTTCCAAGACCCTCACATAGGGTGATAATATAATATAGGTCATAACCCGTGGTTACCCTATTTGAAAATATACTTACTTTATATATAAAGTCAAGTAGTCGGCCCGAGGACCCAACGTTTTTCTTTGAAAACGTTCAACCCTTTCCCCGTGGCTTCAAGCCACGCCCATCTATAATAGTTCACCATGCTAGAGGCTTCCTCTAGTCATGTCTTGTCGTGCTAGAGGCGTACTCTAGTCACTACATTCAGTGTTAGAGGCTTCCTCTAATCACCTTACATGCGTTGTGCTGGAGGCTTCCTCCAGTCACCTTACATTATGCTAGAGGCTTCCTCTAGTCATCCTACACTTACGCTAGAGGCTTCCTCTAGTCGTCCTACACGAATGCTGGAGGCTCCCTCCAGTCATTCTTCATCGTGCTAGAGGCTTCCTCTAGTCACGATACTAACTCACTAAGCAAATTCTATGCCTAGGATTTCTCTATCTTGAGTAGCCTATGAGGCCTACTCCTAATGTAATTTAGCGGTTACTCATTCCTACCTTAAGACATCTCATAAGACTGTTTAAGGTGCATCTTTCACAATCCAAGCCCTTAGGATTTGTTCTATCACTTTTTATACTAACGTTCTCGACTAGTGAATTCCATACTAATCCATTAGTCTTTAACCAACCAAGATCTTTAATTCATCTTTATAAGGTTCATTCCTACGGATTTTCCACTCCGTGTATGATTTAATCTCAATATCAAAAATATCACTTTTATCCATTCATGATTTCTATACATGAAGTAAAAGTATATTTTATCACACCAATTCATGGTTTACACAGTCCTTAAACCATCATATTTATAATGCGTCATCATACACAATTTTCTCACAAACTTGTATGTTATGCATCTTCTATTCACAAACAATAATATTTCCATTTAGGCATTATTAATCATTAATAATCCATGAAAATCACATTTAATTACTTTAGGTAATCTTATGAAATTAACCCAAAGATTATAAGCAATATAGTCGGTCATCCTCACCTTAAGTGAGCTTAAGCGCGTTTTACGTTCCCCGATTTGAACTTTGACTAATTCCGGCAAGCTTTGACCAACTCCGGCGTACTTTGACCAACTCCGGCGAAACTCCGGCGAGGTTCAAAAATGCTTAAGTCAAGTCCCTAACAAGGTTTTAACATCATAAAACCTTAATCAATACAAATAACCTCTAAAGGTTATTTTCCGGTAAACCGGTCGTTTTGACTTCCAAATCCGTTCTTGGACCTAGAACCACTTTCCAACCCATCATTCTACACTTAATCATGTAGAACCATTCTCAAGGGTCTTCATATGATATATATCTCATATGATAGAAGAAAAATAAAGGAAAAGTTAATATAAGGTCTTTACCTTAACCCTTCTCACTTTCTCCTCACTTTTTCCTTCTCAAAGACCTCCTTTTGGACTCCTTAAGCTTGAGCTCTCTTCAAAGATGGAGAATGGAGGATGGAAAATTACTCTTGCTTCTTTCTTGGGTGCTGGCCGAGATGGGGGGTGAGGGAGAGAGGGGTGAGATTTTCTTTTTGGCTTTCTTGCCAAATGAGTGAGGATGGGGTCCTTAGGATGTCAAAATGGTCTCCCCCATCATCTCAAGGTTTTCAGACCTTGTTTGAGACAAATCAGCCTCCATTTTGTGGCCAAAATCGTGGGTTGGCCCCCACTCATGTGGGAGGTCAACCCCTTTTGTCCCGAAGTGTACAATCGGTCCCGAAAGTTGTATTTTTCGGACAGTTTTTGTTATATTTTATTTTATCGGGTCAAATAAAATATTTTACATGCTCTTTAACCAACATGAACCTTATAATGAATATTCATTCCCCAACTTTAATTTATAAGTCCCCGAAATTCAATTTCGGACATTTATCGGTAAAATCGTCAATACCGGTATTTGGGCCTCTCTTGACCAATCGGTCAACTCTGGACCTTTCCATGGTTCAAATGAATTATCCACCACCATATAATTATTATCTAGACTAAGATGAATAATTTATGTGGTCCCGGGAATATCGGGCGGCCCCCGCTTCCGGGCGGGCCTCACGTGCGAATTTACTATTCTTGCGAAAGAATTAATAAAAATTCGTAACATCATAATTTCTTTAACCATTCCATAAGGTTAAAATATAATATTCAAATAAAAGTAAATACATTTGGGGACGGTGTTACAGAAATGGTTCCCGCAATGGAGGCATATTCTGGTCCCAAGCCATATAGAGTGCACTGCAATAATTCTTTGTTGCTCACTGGATAATTAATTGTAGCTAGAGAATCAGCCAATTTCTTAATTGTAAGCAAATAATTTTCCATGGATTGGTTGTCCTTCTTTTTAATTGTATTCAGGTTACGCTTAAGTTCCATGGCACGAGGTAAACTGGCAGACATAAAGCGTTTTTGCAAACGATCCCATATACCCGATGAATGTTTAATATCATGCACATCAGTTAATACATCGCGAGAAAGAGTCGCAAACAACCAAGAACGAATTGTTTGATCTACTCGAAGCCAGTAATAATATTCTGTATTACTGATTTGCTGATTATTAAAATTCACCGTAGACATGGGAGGTACCTGAATTGATCCGTCAACCATGCCAAAAAGCCCTTGTGAGACGAGGAAGGACTCAAACTGCGTCCGCCACGTGAGATAGTCTTCAACAGCGTTGAGCTTTATGGTGACAATTTGACCAACATTGGCTATCCCATGAGAGACGGTCTGCGCCAAGCGAGCCATAGGAGATCCGAACAGGAGGTTGTCATTGACTGGGCGATTTATACCCGGCGTTCCAGCAAAAGTGGGCCCGAAATAAGTGGAAGATGAAGCCTGCTCGGTACAGGGGAGGACTGGAGAACCATCCTGCGGCCAGGGAAGCTGCTGTGGGATGACCGACTGCGCTGGTGGACGAACAGAAGGAAGGGTCGGCGTCCAAGTGAAGACTGGAGGGTTCCAAGCGCTAAACTCCGTTGTGAGAGGTGGCGGCATCCATGGTTGTGAGATGACCGGTTCCATAGAGGAAGAAGAGAGTCCAGAGGCAGCAAAAGAAGAAGACGGAATATCTGTAGGAGAAGAGGAGAGCGGCGTTGTCAGCGAAGTAATGGCTGAATCAACGATTGGGGCGGAGGACGCCGCAGCTGAAAATATCGGAGAAGAGGACATCGCGGCCGAGAGGAGAGAAAAAAATTAGGGATTTTTAGAATTGGCTCTTGATACCATGTGAAATAATGGGAAAAGGGTACTCCAATTGGAGTCCTGGCATGTATATTTATATTGAGAGAGTTTAATACATAATAGGAAACAAATATGCCTAATAATATTCTTTTATGAACTGGGATCCAAATTTTTTACTCCAGATAAATTGCACATATAATTTTACTTGCCTCCTTTGTCTCAAAATTGAATTGCAATTTGCAATTTTTTAAAATTAAGTGACTATAAAATTAAATCACCCTATAGATATTTGAATCAGTTTTACTAATCAATACTTACGTATTCAAAAACAATATTGAAAGCTCTACAAAGTCGCAAATTCAAATTAAAGTATAAAAAATAGATGTCCTAAATTAGTAAATAAAATCAAGGGTAGCTCTTCGGTGCATCAATGTTATGGAATGTTTTGGTGCATTCCATAGTTGGCATTATCTCATTGGTCCAGCTCATCTATTTTTTAAACATATGTGTATTCACTTTATAAATTGCATAGTGAACCTTATACTGCGTAAAATGGAACATTAATAGTAAACACTTTTTCCCTTTTCAGAACACAGCCTCCTATCGCTCTTATATCATTTTTCGTCTTCACTTCTACAGAGCAAACATGCATGGCCATGGCAGATCAAAATTCCAACGAAACTCCAAGCACGTGAGCGTATAAAGACTTTCTTTTTGTACGGTTCCAGAATCGATCAACGTCGGATGAATATGGACCAGTTATGGTCGGTCGATGTGCTGTCTGAAAAGATAAGTTTCCTTCTCTCTTCAGCCGTGTGCTGCTTAGTATGTCTTTCGTCTTCATCGTGCCTATTCACTCTTTCGATTCATCCAGATCTCGTAGTGCACTCCATCGCAGCACTGACAGTAATCTTATCCCACTCCGTTTCTGTCACTGAGGTAATTTTTTTTCATTGTTCCCTTTCATTTAGTTCACAACCTACCTTCACTGAATTGAATCCCCTTTTGTTATTCTTCATTTTTTTGCCACTTAAGGTTATTAGACTGAATGGATTTCTTCACCAAATTTGTATTGCAATTGTGGACCTTTTTCATTCCTCCAAATCTAATAAATTTCCTACAAATTTTGATTGCCCTTGAATTGAACCCCCTCTTGTTATAATGTTATTCTTATTTCTATTGCTACTTAGGGTTATTGGTGCCCTCACAGTACAGAAGGGATTCCTTCACCAGATTTCTATTGTAATTAGGAACATAAGACATTTGATAGTGAAATGTAAGGGATTTTGTTCCTATTTTATTTCCATTTCATATCCCCCTATCTATTTATATTTGATTCTGCGTGTGGAGATATGCAATGCTAAACAGAGAAGAGATTTGATTCTTTACTAATTTATATTAAGAAAATATTTTATACCTACTTTCGGGTAGAGTAAGCATTGATATCTTCATAAAACTGATCTCTCTACTAATAATTTAGTCGATAATATGTGGTATCCACCTACTTTTTGGTTCTTAAACATTGATTTCTTCATGAAACCAATCCCTCTACATACAATTTGAGTTGTGAATTATTACTCTCACTTACTTTGGAGTTACAAGAAACTAAGAAACTAGTCTAATATTTCAGCCTTTTATTTAATAGATACCGTTATATCATATCAGCCTTTTATAACCCTTTCCTGTAACACTTATGTTGTCCATTTGGTGACAAGGATGTTAGATAATGCATTGAAAAAACAAATGGCAGACTCTATGTCATCTCTTCATGGGCATGTCGCCTCTCTTCTTCGTCATATGGACATATGGTTGTTTCGCTTGTTAATGAGCATGCATATAAATTCAGGAGTGTAGCTCAGAAACAAGCTTTTGTGATGGAACTATATTCACCTGAACTCCGGATTTTCAAGAATTTGGTCTCAGGGAATGTGGCCAGTGTTGCAGATGTCATTTCCTAGCTACATCTACAAAAATCATCAGTCTTACGTCACATGAAATATGTGCTTCAGCCTATACTAGAGAGGAGAATTCTCGATCACTCTATCATACACAAGGCAATTGTGGAGTTTCTAAGCATTGCTAATCAGTCTTCTGGTGCTGATGTAATCCAGCCATTATCAAGCGCAGATCTTGTATGGATGATACACACAGGGGATGGATCCAGGATTGCAATTCTTTGTGTCAAGCATGGGAGTGCAAAGGATAGGAACAAAATAATCGAAGGGATGAAAAGAAAAATTGAGAAGATAGCTCGTGATAAGTTGGGTAGTATTGATGGGCATTTTGAGCTAGTTATAGTTTGTGATCTTGGAAGGGATATTTTGTTGTTTGTGAAGGTTTTTTTTTTTTTTTTTTTTTTTTTTGCAGCTCATTAGTTAAGAGCTAACTTTTTGCATGTAAACTATCAATTTAACATTACATTAATGAAGAGTTGAGTTCTATTTCAGGGTCATTCACCCTTTTTTTGTGCTTATGGTGAGGCTGCTTATATCAAGACCAACCCTACTATAAGTGTCTTCAAACCCTTTTGTAATATTGGAGGCAAGAAGTGTTTTTCTTTAATTACCAGAAACATTAACAAAATCAGAACAAGATGAACAAAAAGCACACATAAAAAACCAGCAACAGTAAATCCTAAAGCCTCATTGCAAACACACTTTGATTGACAAAAAACAGTAGATGCATTCAATGGTACAATACCAACTTAATATAGAATAAGCGCTGCATTTATCAAATACTCGCCCTATCTATTACATTTTCTTTACCATAACAGCAGCAACAAAAACCATTATACGTATATGACACATTCTCATCCAAAATAGCATGTTTTTCTGCTTCAGAATGAACAACCATCTTAATACTTTCTAAATCAGTTTTTTCATAGGTGAAGTAATGAAGGCTTTCAACTCCTCAATTGAAGAGGCTTTACTTCCTGAAGAACTACTTTCGCCATCTCTTTCCTTTTGGTGGTCATTTGGCACCAGTATTTCATTCTTCTCAGACTTCATTGCAAAAAAGTGAATGGAGAACTCTCTATATTCTCAAGTCAGAGACATGTATGGGACATAAGTGAGGTCTTACTTCAAGTTTTGGGTGCTTGACCATATCTTCCTCTTATGCAGTCCGCCTTCGAGGTGGAGGTCCTAAATGGCTGCGGCATAGAAATGAGAAAAAGGTTTCTTCACACCAACAAAAAAGCTCAAAGAAATGTAATACTGCCCTTATCACAAATTCACATTATATAAATTACAAGAAAATGGCTTCTTAACCTGAACATAACTGGTGCTTCACCCTTTTCTTTCACTTTATCTTCATACTCCTGCCACAGTTAAACTTTCCATGACCAACACACTAACTTTGCAGTGGAGAATAGAGCAACCAATCAACATTAAAGTCCAACGCCAATACAAGATGGGAGTTTTATTTCATTTCTCATTTCATTCCAAAGCGAAGAGATAATTAAATTTCCCCCACCCCCTATATAAGCCCTCTTTGGTGGGGAGACTTCAGGGGTGAGTGGGTGATTGATTAAGGGGTGAGTGATTTTTTTATTAAATTATTCTCACATTTAGATGGTCAGGAAGATAGTGAAGATGAAAAAGTTGAAGAAATACATGATTTACGAATAGAGATAAATTAGTAAAAAAAAACCAATCATCCCCTCCCCACCTCTCCTCCAAAATCTTCTGACCAAAAGAAAAGGAAACAAACATGTCATCATAACAAGGCAATGGAATTTTGTGTGCCTGCATTTGATGGGGGGCTAAGGGAAGCTAAAATTAATTGAACTGTTGCACAATTAAGAAACCATTTCAAGCATATATAGCAAGTAATACAGATTTTTAGAAATGCCATTATTTTATTGTATATTAAAAGCTTTATCTCAAAGGAAGTCAATGTAACATGCAGGCCGCAACATATGCCAGAAGATGAGTGGTGTTACAATAAAAGCACCAAAAGTGATAAATTCACCGCCACCTCTTGGTCCCCTGCCAAAAGAACATGCAGGAACTCATACACTCATAAGAATGATACACATGGTACGGTATTTTTTAATGTGTGGACAAAAAAACCATTCGCCTCTTTTCTCTACTATAATAAAAACATTATAATTATTGCCATTATAATATAAGATGAACTTTAACCTTATACTATCATATAAGTTAGTGGTCAGGAGGATATTTAGTGATTGATTTTGGTTGTTCCCCTTCCCATGTATGTGGCTGAGGCAAATGAGAAAGGTAAGAGGAACTCCAGTTTGTTGAAAGACTTTCACCTTCAACATTCAGAACTTTTATTTGCCTAGGATGATCAGGACATCATTAAAATAATTAGTGTACAGATATGAGGGGGCATTATCCGTTTGGGATCGTTAAACAAGCGAGGAACACTTCAATTGCAGGCCAAAACCCAAATAAAAGTGCACCTAAAGGGATATGGTTGGGTTACGAAGTAACATCAAAACCCTAATTTGGTGGTACTTGTCAAATACAAATCGGAAAACTTAATGGAAGAGGAGATGAATGATAATGGAGGAAGTAACATTAACCTTCAAGACAAAGAAATTGAATATGTATCTGTATTTAAAGGTGGTGAATACGCACAACAACAAAATAGAGATGATGAACCTACCTTGGATTGAGATGCCGGATTTTCATTCCTCCGGCCCTCTCCCCCCTGGTTTCTTCGCCTCAGATGTCTCTCGCAGCCAAACGATAACTCAGAAGTTGGATTTTTCTGTCAGCGTAAAACGTAAAAGACCGGGGAAGGACCTCTGTGCAAAAAAACGTACGAAGTATTTTTAATTATAAAACTGATGAGGTGGATTAAACTACCAATGAAATACTGACAAATATGGAATGCACCAAAACATCCCTAAAGCATATGCACTATAAAATTTTCCTAAAATCAAACCATGTTGTCCAAGAAAATAGGCGTTGCAAATAATTTTGGAATGGAGAAAGTATAAAAGACAAGTTGTTTCAAATTTGAGATGGGGCATGACAGGAGTCACAAGACCCCTAGCTACCCCTGCATATGAGAAATACACTTCATATAGCACAACGGCTAATAAGGTACCGAATAGAATTTGGAATCACATATACATGGTTAGTCACAAAGGTGAAAATTTGGAATAATGATCCCAGATCGATTAAAGCGAGGGAGGCTACTTGTGCGAAGTGACAATAATCATCTAGAATATGTGTTTAATTGAGATATCATGGTTAATTTAACCGGGGTGCAGGACCCTTGGGTTAATTGGGATTAACATTTTGGATTTTTAAAGCAATTGTTACGTGGGCTTCTCATCAAATACGACACCATAGGTATTAGACTATTTACCTACTTGTAGTGCCATCTTAAAAACACTTCTAAATGCGTCTTATCATTACTATTTAATTAATTACTCTGTAATTATTTAATATGACTAAATAACTCTGACAGAAGATAACGATAAATAGATGATAAAAACATGATATTAAATATAGATCACATAACCATGAATTAACAGCTAATAATGAATAGGAAATGAAGGGATGGATGGACGCAAAGGGGGCATGTGTCCTTATGGTGCGCAGCGTGCATTGTTTGGTGGATTGTTCATAGCACTCAATTCACAAATTAAGTTCCTACAAAATATCTCAACTCATATCATTATTCAGTGAATGTTATAAGGAGTGTTTCGATCTGCTTCTTAAATTTAATTTGCTTATGCTCCTTCAAAAAATAGAAGCAAATATTAAAGTGTTTGGATGAAAGTTGTGCATAAATACTTTGAATGTTAGAAATTAAATGAAGTTTATTAAAAATTGGGGAAGACAAAATTCTAAGAAAGTGATTTTAATTTAGAATAAGTTTAAACACCTGGCGACCAAAAGTATCATTCTTTTTTATATGCAACTCGGCCGCCTATCATGTCAACTAATGTGCCCAAACTCCTTTCTAATGCATACAGATTACGTAGCCACATATGTGCTCCACTTCTAATAATGCGTAACACCTGCCTGGTTTAGTGCTTGGTCCAATCTTTTTTAATACCCCTGTATATGGACTCGGGCCGGTTCAGGGGCCAGGCCTGTTCAGCTCTTGGGCTGGGAGTAATGGGAACCAAGACCGCTACCCGGGTGTTCAGGTTCCAAGCCGTTTTCGGTCACCGTCCACTTTCGATTATTATTTTTTAAATATAAGAATGTTTAAAAAATGCATTATTGACGAAATAATTAATTTCTTAGACTAAATAGATTGAATTTAAATAAAAAAATTAAATGTTCAACGAGCCACCATAAGTCCACAATGGGTATATTATTTCAATTACAAAACCAAAACATAAAATTAACAATAAACTGCAAATTTCGAAGTAAGAAGCAATTGAGTACCGGCATCAACGAAGCGGGGCCTAGATGGATCGAACCCGATCCGGGTTTTATATAAATTAATGTATATGGAGATACAAGGACCGTCGAGGAAGAAGAGCTTCAGGGTGGATTGCAATAGATTACATTAGTAATTTTTGTTGGTGATTTTAGTCTCACCGACCGTTTTGTGTAATTGGAAATGACACGAGTGCCAATGGAAATTGGAACTATGATCTAATACAAGTTAGTAGGTGTGGAGTGCATACTTGTATATAAGAACTATTTTAATTCCAAAGTGTCTACGTTAGTGGAACTCGAGGTAGGACTCGAGGTATAACTTTTAGTAGACCAGCTCTGTGGCCGTAAGCTCGCTCGTCTTGGGAATAATTTTGGATAAATATATTTTGTCCAAGGGTGGTGTGTTTGTTGGTTTTAGATATTTATCAAATCGCATGTTTCGTTTAAATGTTGTGAATAAATTATTTTCTAGTGATAATTCTGTTTTTGTGGCATCTTCCATTTATGATTGTATGATTTGACATGCTAGATTAGCTCACGTTAATTTTAGAAAAATGCATGAAATATCTAAAGATGGTTTAATTCCGGCTTTTGATATTAATAATGATGATAAGTGTAGGACTTGCATGCTTACTAAGATCACAAAACAACTGTTTCCTATTGTTGAAAGGAATTCGGCTATTTTAGATCTTGTACATAGTGATCTATGTGACTTTCACTCAACTCCTTATCTTGGCAATAAAAAGTATGTTGTTACTTTTATTGATGATTCAACTCGATTTTGTTATGTGTATTTATTACACACCAAGGATGAAGCTTTAGAGGAAATTTAAAGTGTATAAAACCGATGTTGAATTGCAATTGGATAATCCAATTAAATGTCTTAGGACTGATCGGGGAGGAGAATATATGGATCCCCATTATTTTCAATCTATTGGAGTCATTCATGAGACCACGACTCCGTATACACCACAACAAAATGGTGTGGCAGAACGGAAAAATCGAGTGTTAAAGGAAATGGTTAATTATATGTTTTCCTACTCGGGTTTGAGTGAAGGGTTTTGGAGAGAAGCTATTATGCTCATGTATGGCTTACTACATTGAATAGGATTCTAAATATACGGAACACGTGTGTTTTTGAATAGCCGAT